TAACTTCTGTTAACTTATGTTAACTTTCTAGCTAACTTACTTAACCTCCTAGCAACATCTATATCTTAACTTAAGCCCAACGCACAATCTTAGTACAAAAACATACATACTTCTATCTGCGCCAATGTGGGGCTTCAGGGTTTCTGCTGTGGAGTTGAGGGGGTCGGGGGTGTAGTGTTCATGTCGAGGAGATCTAGGGTCCGATGAGGCTTCAAAGCTGAGGGCTCAGGTTAGCGTCTAGGCTTTAAGGATCACGCTTTAGGGCTTGAAGTTCAGGGTTTGGGGTTCAGCACATGTCCTTGGATTTTTTGGCGGCTGCCTACTTCCACGGTGCAGAGGTCCTAGCTGGCTGACGCATAAGGACTGCTTCGAAATATGAGGGCACCCTAAATCCTAAACGCCTAAACCCTAAACCCTCAAGCTTCAATCCGGGGTACCCTTAACTTGGGGTACCCTCACGCTGTGCGGACCAGGGATCCCGACACCTAAGATGATCGAAGTCCCTTAAGCCTTGAACCCCATTACCCCAAGCTTACCCATAAAGCTTCTACACCACTCCTTATAAGGCCTTGTGAGCCGAGGAATCCCCTACCAACACGTTTTCAAGAAATTTGCAACAACCGTATAGAAACAATCAACGAACTTTCAGGCCAACTTTCATGCCCACAGTCATACACTCAAAACCCCTAAAGCCCACGCCATGGTATAAGGGTCTACATCGTTAGAGTTGGGGTTTGGGGTATGTCGCCTCCATGTTATTCACCCACCGAGCCTCCGCCGCTGAAAGCAGCTTCGGGTAGTCCTTGCAACGTTTTTCTCTCCCCGGGCTCTTGGGTTTGGGGTTTAGGTTTCGAGTTTAATATAGGGGCCTCAAGAATTAGAATAGGGTTTTGGGGCCCACTATAATATACACATAATAAAGAAGCACCCAAAATAGTACAGGTAATGATTAAGGCCCCTATGTTAGGGCTTAGGGTTTAGGGTTTTGAACGGAACACGACATGAGCCAACTAGTTTTTGTCAGCGGGATATATGGATGCCAGTCCCGGTTGTAAACCCAACGCCTACTATAGAGGCCTTAATACTTAGAATAGGGTCTTGGGCCCATTATACTATAATTATAACAAGGAACCCCCCAAAACCCAATCCCAATTGTTAAGGCCCCTATATTAGCATTCTGCAGGGGGTTTCCTAAGAAAGAAGGTCTCGCCGGTTGCAGGCAGCCCCTGCCAAAAATGTGTCTGATGAAGGCTTCGGACTCCTCGACTGCAACATCCCGAACACTCCTTCACCCTAAACCCTACACCCTAAACCTTAACCCTGAACCCTAAACCCTAAAACCTAAACCCTAAACTCAAAACTCTAAAACCTAAGCCCTAAATCCTAAACCCTAACGCCTAGGCCCTAAACCCTAAGCCATACACTCGAAGCCCAAAGCCCTAAACCCTAAACACAAACCCTGACTTCAACCTAAGGTCTGCAGGGGGCTCCGGGTTTTGGGTTCACTGCCTCCGGTATCAGGCGGCGAGTTGCCAGCCTGGCGGACGACTGACACCCGGCTTTTGCTATGTTCCACGGGATCAGATGGGTAGTTCTCTAAATCAAATTAGGGATTTCTTTTAAAGTGCATTGGAGCGGACTTTACGACCAATTTAGGGTTTAGGGTTCAACATAGTACGGCACCCTAATATAAAGGGGGCCTAAGCGGGACCCTAATTTAGAGAACTACCCGGATTCTGATTCGGCGCTACGGCGGGGGGCTGCAGGGATTTCGGAGTTCGATGGTTGATTGTTGAGGAACTGAGTTTGAGGTAGAATACAAAAGCTACGCCTAGGATTATAAGTAGGAGATGCTCAGGGATCTATGTTGGTGGGGCTTCGGAGTTCATTGTAGAGTGTGGGGGTCGAGAGCTTGGCTTCGGGGTTGGTGTTGAGGGCTTCAGGATCAGGCATTCGGATTTCAGGTTCAGGGTCTAGGCTTATGGGGCTTTCAGTGTGCACGAGGGCCGGGGGGGGGTCCAGAATTGAAAACACAGCCAGCATCAAATCCACAATAACGATCACGAATCATGGGACAACCAGCTGGCTACGCTGAAACAAGGACCAAGACAAGTCTAAGAACATGGTAGAGAGTTTGACCTTCTACGAAATGATTCCGAGGCTGTGTTCTGGATACTCTAGATGCCAACATCCAAAGCTTGTGGTGCAAGGCATTGCCCTACTTAGTGTATGGAGCCTCTCTGTGAAGTTCAGGTGCGGAAACCCTAGACCGGACCTCGATGCATCATGCGAACGGCAAAACCTCCCACTACACCACATGCTACACGCTCCCTCTGCCCGGCCGCGAGAACACTTGACATGCACAACTAAAGCTCTACACCCATGAACGTACAGTGAAGCCCAAAAACTCGCATTGAGCTGCTAGCCCAACAGCAACCAATCAAACAAAGACCCTAAGCCGTCAACCCTACAAGCCCTGAGCGCATAAACCTTGAATGTAGGGGCCTTAATAATTGGAATAGGGTTTTCAGACTATACTTACAGCCAGGAACCCCCCAAGCTAGTGTAGGCAACAATTTAGGCTTCTAGATTAACCCGAAAAAACAACATGTCGGGGGTGGCCATGCCGGCAGCTTTGCACACTGTACCGAAAAATCCGAAGACATGGCCCGGTTTAGGGTTTAGGGTTTAGGGTTTAGGGCCGAATCAATACTCAGTAACCCTAAACCCTCAACCCTAAACCCTAAACTACTCCATGAAGGCTTCCTTCAAGGGGTTCTACTACGGGTTCTGTGCAATATTGGGGCCTTCGACACTTAGAACAGGGTTTTCGGGCATGTTGTGGCTTTCTAAGTAGAATAAGGAACCCTGCGGATGACATTTATATGTTTCATGGATACTTGCTCAAGCTATATTGCCGTCCGTGGCTTCGGGGTGTCAAAGTTGGGAGGTTAGGGGTTTAAGGCGTTATAGGCGCATGCACATCGCGCACCTGACAACTTGCCGAACTTCTACCAATGTGGAGTTCCTGTGGGTCTGGGATTCGAAGCCTAATGTAAGTTAATAATTAGAATAGAGTCTTGGGGCCCATTATACAATCATTATAATCAGGAACCCCCAAAACCCTATTCTAATTATTACGGCCCCTATATTAAAAAAATACTGGGCATGATGCTTGAAGCTCTCCGGCCGGCAAGCGCATGAATACTTCGTAAAGGCATGCATGCGACAACTCCACGCATCTCTGCCGAGGATGTGACTCATTAGGGTTTAGGGTTTAAGGTTTAGGGAATCATGTCTGCCAGTTCTGTCTGCAGCTTCTGGAAGCAGCCTCTGAGATTGTGTTGCGGCCTTGGGCATGCCGTGAAGATGAACAAGGTTCGCTAGAGTAGGGTTCATTTCGGTATGCCATCCTTCAGGAATTAGGGGTTTAGGGTTTGAGGGGTTTAGGGCTTAAGGGTTTAAGGCTTTAGGTTTCGGCTTGTGGCGTAGGGGCTACCTTTTTCGACTCCGAGGCTTTCAAGGTCTTATCCTGGGTGCCTGGGTGGCTGGTTGAGTCAAAGAGCCAGTCGTTCGAGGTGGATCCTGGTCTTGTGGGGTTTGGGATTAGGATTTACGACTTAGGGACTAGGATTTACGGTTTGGGATTTAAAGTGGGATTTAGGAATGATCAAGAGTTTAGCTCCAGAAAGTAGGTCCCCTCAACCCCTAAATTCTGAACCTTGAACCCCAAAGTCCTAAACCCCTAAATCCCAAATTCCTAAACCCTAAACCCCTAAAGCCCTACACCCCAAACCCCTAAACAGCCCTAAATCCCCAATTCCGAAACCCCAAACCCTAAACCCTAAACCCCTAAACCCCAAACCCTAAACCCTAAACCCTAAACTCTAAACCCTAAGCCCTGAACCCTAAAGACTAAGCCGTAACCGAGCTCCCTAAGCCCCTAAACCCCAAAAGCATCGATCGGCCCCACAGCTCCACACCCGCAACCCCGGCTGATACTGCAGGTAGCATAAGGGGCCTTGAGACATAGACTAGGGTTTTGGGGGGTCCGTTCTATTGTAGTATAGTATAGTAGAGTAGAGGAGAGCAGAGTAGAGTAGAGTATAGTAGAGTGGAATAGAGTAGTGTAGGAGTATAGTACATGTAGTACAGTAGAGTAGAGTATAGTATAGTAGAACTAGTAGAGTAGAGTAGAGTATACTAGAGTAGAGTAGAGTAGAACTTCATTAGCACAGTAGATGAGAGTTATCAGTCCGGCCCCTAAATTTTAGCCACTCGACAAGCCCTTCACGCAAGCGTCGTTGTTAAGGCAGGTTGCAGCGCAAGGAAGCGAAGCGTCTTAACTCTGTCCCCAAGTTTGGATGTCGATGTTTAAGCGGGTGGTTTTGCAAGACACGGTTCGTAGCTGCAGTTACTCTGGCCGGCAGGGGTGGATCAAGAACCCAAACATGGTGCAAGCCTCATTGGTTCAAAAAGGTATCAACAATGCCCCCCTGACAGTCCGTGACTGAGATGGAAATCTTAAAAGCACATAGCCTTACACATCATACAACGAAATCTACTCGACCTGAAACCCTCTTCTAACTCGTGCTCGTGGGGTGTCGGACCAATGGTAAGTCCAGGTTTGGGGTTAGCAGGCTTCGCACTTGACTAAGATGTCTTTTCGCCTCTTCCTTTCAGGATGCAACATGATGCTACGCTGAACTTGTCTGAGCTGTACTTGAAGCTCAGCCGTTGTAGCTGAGCCAAAAGAGCGCGGGCCAGACCCTGCGCTAATTAGGGCTTAAAGAAATCCCTTTAAACCGGATGAGCCCTAGACATTAGTTCGCAAAATGCTTCCAAACCTCTTTACACTGGTACCGGCAGCAAGCTCAACATTGCCATGAGGCCATAAAAGTTCCTCTCTCCATTCAGACTCCAGCTGCGACAGGTGCACCCGGTGATGCAATCGCAGCTTTGCTGGCCTAAGTGTTTGTGCTTCTACTCCAACTTGCAAAGACAAAGCCCTAAACCCTGCACTATTCACCGTAAAACTCTAAACCCCGCACCCTAAACCCTAAACCCTAAACTCCTGAACCGGCCAGGTGTAGGGATTGAAGCCTTGGGGTCGAGTGGGTCTTTATCTCCGGTGTCAGGGCTTCCGTAAGCCTTCCGGAGACGCCAGCCCTAATCTAGGGGCCTTAATAATTAGAATAGGGTTTTGGGGCCCGAATAATTAGAATAGGGTTTTGTGGCCTTAATAATTAGAATATAGGGTTTTGGGGCCCATTATACGGCAATTATACTAAGGAACCCCCCCCCCTCAAAAAAAAAAAAAGTATAGGTAATGATGTAGGCTTCTATATTATGTAGAAAGACATCCTAAGAACGCCAAACCTTACACTCATGAGGACCCTTCGATATGAGGGTCGGCTTGATTTAAGGATCTCGCGTTACTTCAGGGCTCACTAGGAAGCCGTGTAGAGTATAGTATTGGTAATGATTTAGGCCCCTACATTATGCAAGCATCTTGTGAGCTTCTGAACCTTGGAGTTCTATACTGGCTGGGGCCTGAGGTCCGAAAAACTCTGTAACCTCGGAGCCCGAATGCATAGAACAGTGTTTTACGGGGGGGGGAATTGCACTACTGTAATCTATGGAAGGGACAGTATTGATTCCGACCCCGGTATCGCCTAACATTGCGATTTAGGGCATCGGGAAAGGAACGGGAATAGCAACCACAAAAGAAGACTAGGCTAGGCCTAGGCCAACTAGGCAAGTAAAGAGCTTGTAAGCTCAAAGGGCACCCAAACCCTAAACCCTAAACCCGAAAGCTTATAGCGGAACCTCGAGAAGCACGATTGCTAATTCTTGCCACCGGTGCCACCGGTAGGAATGGGGTCTCCAAAACCCCAATAGTGACCAAAGTGCGACCTACACCCTCAACCTGGATTCCTGAAGACTGAACCAAAAGAACCTAAGCCCTCAACCCTGGAACCCTAAACCCTCAACCCCTAAATCCCTAAATCCCTAAACCCTCAAACTTAGAGTGCAAGTCGCTATCACAAGGTACGCCTTCACAGGGTACATCTCTCCAAGTGGGTAGCTTTGCAGGAGGTATCACATCTGTGTCGAACCTGGCCCAAGGTGCCTAGCAACCAACACCTCCCAAACCCCTACTAAACTTTAAAGGGCTTAGGGTTTTCGGGCTTAGGGTTTTAGGGCTTTAGGATTTTAGGGTTTAGGGTTTTAGGGTTTTAGGGTTTTAGGGTTTAGGGTTTAGGGTTTAGGGTTTTAGGGTTAGGGTCTAGGGTTTAGGGTTTGGGGCATAATGGTAGTACTAACAGCAATCATCATCAAGATGACAATGGCAGAAATGATGAAACATGGTAGTACGAGTGAATCACAATCCGAAGAAGAAGAATGATCCCTCTATGTTTCGTAGCGAAGGGGCTTTTTAAGCCTCTGGGTATAGGGTTCTGTTGGGTCTTATAGGACAGGGTTTTATGCAGAGTTTTAGGCTCGAGGGTTCAAGGCCTCTGTCGCAACACCCCTAAACCCTAAACCCTATAAACCCTAAACCCTAAAACCCTAAACCCTATGGAGGCCCCTATACTACTCCCAGTCTCGAACTGGGCCTTAGAGCTCAATCTCTGAAGCCTGCACCCTGAAGCCCGAGTCCATCACAAGCCCCTTGCCAAAGTTTAGACACGATGGACCTGAAAGTTTCAGGCCCTCCGCCCCTCAAAGCGTAAGCATCTGTAAAGCAAGCTTAAGTTTTGGCTCTAGGCTTCCATGTTGAGTCCTTAACCTGCAGTCCCTATTCCGGAAACAAGCGTTCCAAAAACTCTAAACCCCAAGCCTGGACCCGAAACCCTTACCGCTACACCCCGAACCCTTTTCACACTCCTTTTCGAACCAACCTTCATAACAATCTCAGAGAACCCACATGAAAACCCTTGTCGATACATACGCGTATACAAAACCTTGTAGAACCCCAATGAACACCCGAAAAGCCCCCTTTAACACTTGCAGTACTTTATAGGACCCGTGTGGACCCTTATAGAACCCTGACACACCCTATAATTAGAGCACTTCTACAGCCCCTATGAAACCCAGCTACAAGCCACAAGAACACTTCTAGAACCCCTAAAGCTCAAACCCACGCTTTGCCCCAACCCCTATACCAGAACCTCTAAACCCGACCTGTAGGTGAGCCCACGGCTGATCTCCGCCGGTGCCGGCGTCTGCTCCCAGCGCAATTTGATCAATTTGGTGGTCCACATCGATAGGTAGACCGCCTGTTTGGGGGTATACGGTTTGGAGTTTAGGAGTTCAGGGTTTTAGGGTTTTAGGGTTTAGGGATTTATGGGTTTAGGGTTTAGGGTTTAGGGATTTATGGGTTGAGGGTTAGGGGTTTAATTAGGGTTTATTCGGGGGCCCGAAACCCTAAATAGCCCTAAAGCCCTTAACCCCATCAGACCTACAGCTTCTAAGCCCTGGGCCCGGAGCTCTTTTGTTGTTCCTGGTTGTGTCGCTTGTTTGGCCTCCTTCGGGCTTCGATTTTGCTGTGATTACGCCTTCTGGGTAGGTCCCATGGTTTTCTCGTTGAAGCTATGTTTTCTATGCTTGTTCAACTCCGGTGTCTCCCACAATCCAACGAAGAAGCATTCCGGAAGAGAGCCCAGCTGAGGCTGAGCTGGGATTTAGGGCTAGAGCTTAACGCTTTGGGTTTGCATGCATTTTTTTCTGTTCCTGTTGTCACTTGGAACTCAACTCTCTAATAATCTTGAACCTAGCAGTTTCTATGGCGCCATTTAAATGCTAGACTCTTGGCCGGTGCCAAGAGACTGCACAACTAGCTAAACCGAAACTTGAACCCCGAATCCCTAAACGGTTTAGGGTGTAGGGTTTAGGGCTAGTTTTGTGGCACATTGCACCTGGTCCCCCGCATGCAGCAACGGACAGGAATGAATGGGGACTTGAAGCCACCAATCTTTTTCGGCTTCGACACTTCGGTCCACCGTCCCGTTGCACAGCCTCGGTCGCAGATCAACCCTGAACCCCCTTAACCCTAAACC